GGTTAGTCGACACACCTCACTACGGATTCTTCTCGCGATCGCCGCTATGAAGAAAAAGAAACTGCGGCAAATCGACGTCGCCAATGCATTCCTTTACGCACCTGTTGACGCCGAAATCTACGTCGAACTCCCACACGGCTCCCACGGAGAGCCCAACCAAGTCTGTCAGCTGCAAAAATCTCTGTACGGGATCAAACAGGCCCCGAGACTATGGCAGCAGTACCTACACGCTCGACTCACTCGCATCGGATTCCGGCAGCTACCTCACGACCAAGGCATGTACCGGCTCTTGAAAGGCGACGACTACATTCTATTGATCGTCTACGTAGACGATCTACTCTACATCGGATCGACCGACAACGTTACTACCTGGTTCGAAGGGGAGTTACAGAGAGACCTCACGCTCACAGTCTCATCTACCGTCACGCAATATCTCGGCCTTAATATCCAGGAAGGGGAAAGCGCGATCTACCTCAACGCTGCAAAGTACGCTGACACCATAGCCAAACGTTTCTCACTTACACCTACCACCATCTCTACGCCATACCGCTACACGGCAGGAAACAACAAGGCAGAATCTGCTCCACTAAAGCCCGCCGGCATACGCAACTACCAAAGAAAACTGGGATGTCTTCTCTTTGCGGCCGTTACCTGCCGCCCGGACTTATCATACTCCGCAAGTCAACTCGCCACCTACCTCAAAAGGCCTGAAGCTGAACACATGGCGGAACTAGACCGCGCCCTTCACTACCTCGTTAGTACTCCGACGATCGGCCTAATCTACTACAAGAGCAAAACTACAACGCCCAAGCTAATCGGGTACGTCGACGCCGATCACGCCGGAGATCCTGACAACAGGTGCTCGCGCACAGGCTACATCTACCGCCTCGAGCCTATCGGACCTATTTCATGGCAGTCGAGCAAACAGGAATTAATTGCTCTCTCCTCAGCTGAAGCTGAATATATCGCACTCTGCTCAGCCACCAAGGAAGGACTGTACCTTCGCGAACTTCTGGAGGAAGCGAAGCTGGCCCAGTTACCCAGCTTCTCCCTATTCTGCGACAACCAGTCGGCAATTCGCATAGCCAACAAAAATGGATTCGCGAACAGGACGAAGCACATCGCCCTGCGGTATTTCTTCGTAAAGGACGAGATCGAGAAGGGGAGACATGAGCTGTCTTACTGCCCCACATCCGAGATGGCAGCTGATTACTTGACCAAAAAGCTCGGAAAGTCGAAGTTCGAATATTGCATGCTGCTGACTGGACAGAGCCACGTCACCAGCAGCGACACTCTAGAAGCGAAGGGGAGTGTTGGAAACAACTGATCTAAGCGCCTCTGTCGTGTCGAAACACTAAGACAGAAGCGAAACAGATATTATCGAAACATCGGCGAGTCAACCCTCGGAGGTTGAACAACTGCTGGAGGTTACGCGAAAGTCAAAGGTCGGCGACCTTTGACCTGACAAATGCAGCGCGACAGCAAGGATAAACAACTGTCTCGATACTGAGCAGTTTCCCGAGTCGACACTGCATCGAACCGCAACAGCAACAGTAAAACAGTTATTAACCGTATCTTTTCATATTCCATGTATCTTTATAAAAGCTTGTATCTCTTTACTTTAATCAATCAACTTTGCCCTCACATACCAGCGCAAGGTGGTTCAACAATCCTTTTATTAAAACGCTTCCGCTATTACATTGTCCTACCCTTGAATTCTGTCCTGCAAAGATCCTAAGGGCTTTTTTCAGCCCAACAGCTGTTAGTCAACGATCGCGACTGTTTACCGCCCAGTAACCGTACTCGGAGGTTACACGATGCAACATGGTAACTGTCGAGTAGAGTAATAGTCGTGGTTACTGTAGCAATGCAAAACAGTTCATAAGGGAATGTACCCCTCATAGTACATGGCTAGCTAGGATTGCTATTTATATTGTTGTACTCTTATCCTAAAATCATATTGTTCTCTTTCAACTATTGTCAACAAGGTCATTACTAAGACTTCATTGTCTTCTTAGAACTTAGCAGTCTTATCCTATCCACTACGATTCCTAGTTTATATCAACAGCAACATTTCTTCATGCCATTTTACTCGTAACACGGGGCTACAAAGAAGTTGAAGTGGTTATATTTTTTTTCAAAAGTATAGCAGAATATGCGTGGTTGCCATGCAGAAATCACTTTCGTGTTTGTGTGCCTATTTCGGACCGCATTATTCAGTGCTGTGATCCTAGAGCACCGACCATGAATTCGCCACCAATAATTGCATGGTCGTCGGTGCCTCGTGTCGTCGTGGCGTGTCGTTGTCACCAACTGAGATCGGTGCGAACTTGTCGGTTGGGTATGCTTCTGTAGAGGCTTTGTTGTTAGCATTGCTACTGGGGCCGGATTCCACCCCACACCTCCTCGACACCTTCTCTGACATGTGTTTCCCTCCCCCCAACCTTCAACCACATCACATCCTCACAAAATACCCACCCATGTCGAGCATATTCTCGAAATATCCTGAGAATTCATGTATATTCGAACACCACACCACACCACAGTTAATTTATTTTAGCACACGGGCAGGAGCATGGTTGGCGTAAGATTCGAGATAGTGCTTTTGTTCGTGTGAGGGCAGGGACAACTGACTAGCTGGGCAGGGAAACGCGGTTGTGTTGCATTGCGTCGTGGCAGTGGAGAGGAAGCCCCTCCTGACAAGTCACACGCGTCGCTCCCAAACCAGCCAGCAAGCCCCAACCCGCCATTATTTAGGGCACTCGCATCATCCCGAAGACGAATCTGACTTGAGACATTGTGTAGTTTACTTGCAGTTCTGTTCACAAGTTCAAGAATTTACCAATGCAGAGCCGCGCCAGTACCTCTCAGATTGCTAGCAGTAGCAGCAGCACAGAACCCGACAATGAAATTATTATCGCAGGTCGTTATCGCCGTGTGCGTCTCCTCGGAAAGGGCTCTCAAGCTACCGTGTGGGAGTGCAAAGATCTTCACAACCCCTCAGGCCCTCACGTCGCATGCAAGTCCTTTTCCCGCCTTAAATCCTCCGCCAATCGCGCTATAATCAACGAGGTTCTCGCTCTGAAGAAGCTAAGAGGCCACTCGAATATCGTCGACTTTATAGACTTGATAGTCGAGGCTGACGAGTGCCACGCAATTGTAGAGCTCGCGCCGGAAGGCGACCTGGTTCTGGAGATAATGGAGCGCGGTCCGATGGTGGACGAGGCGCAGGCGGTGAACCTGGCGCGGCAGCTCGCATCGGCCGTGGCGTTTTGCCACGCGAGCGGCATCGTGCATCGCGATATCAAGCCCGACAACGTGCTGGTCGTCATGCGCCCCGTGGACCATCACCACCACCATCACCTCCCGTCATCCCCTTCCGCTGACGACTCCGATCTTCTGGCCGTCGATTTCCCCTCGTCTCCCAAATCTACCCTCAAAGACGCCGGGCCTCTCTCCTCCTCCTCGTTCTCCCCATCCGCTTCTTCCTCCTCCTCGTCGTCCACCTTCTCCCCGTCAACTCCCTGCTCCTCATCCCCGTCCTCTCCCACCATTACGACCAGCGGTTCCCGTCGTGGCGCTTCGCGGTCGCCGTGCTCCTTGGCCTCGTTCTGCCTGCTGGACTGGCTCTCCACCCCCCACGCATCTCCCACTGCGGATAACTCCGAGTCTCCGTCCACCTCGCACCACACGGATGACCAATCTGGGATCGTGAATGGAGGTGCCACCGCCGCCCACAAAACTCCAGGAAATGAGAATGCAGGGGGGTCCGCGGATTTGGAGGTTGAGTCTCCGCCAGCAGCGCCGATGACGAGCGCACAGCGTCGTGAGCTGGTCGTAGGAGTGAAGCTGACCGACTTCGGGGGCTCTGCCGTGCTCAAGGGCGGGCTAAGCGGTGTTGTTAAAGGGCGGGGCGCGGGAACGCGCGGGTACATGGCGCCGGAGGTGATCACGGGACAGGCGTACGGGTACAAGGCTGACGTGTACAGCCTCGGGATCACTCTGTCCACCATGCTGACGGGACATATCCCCGCCACGCCTGTGGACTTCTCCAAGCCCATCTGGGAGAACGTGCCAGAAGGCGCGAAGGATCTAATCCGTCAAATGCTTTACATGGACCCGAATCAACGGCTGAGCTCGTTTCAGGTGATGGAGCATCCGTGGCTGAATCAGCCAGAGGCGAGGCGTGCGGATGTCACTACCAGGAACCCCAGCCTGCTGCAGCCTTCAGCAATGGTGACGACGGAGATGGCGTACTGTCAGGGCAGTACAAGTAAGGGCGGCAGCTGCGGGGTCAGTGGGAGGAAGTACTGCAGTGGTCAAAGGAATGCAGATCGAAGTGCTAAAGTTGAGTGCGAAGCAGCAGCCCCATGAGGGGATCCATCCCAGAAGCTGTTTTCAGCAGCTCATTGCAAAATAAGGGAACAGCCCTCATCAGCCATCTTGGCTAGCCATACGAAGCAATGTCAGTTGCTTCTAGAAACCTGGGAGGAGCTGCAGGTGATGCCCACATCAGGTTGGGAGGGAGCCTGCTGGCTTGTAGGCGATCTTCTTGCTGATTTCTTCCTGTCACAGCAACGCTGTGGAGTTGTGAGCAGTTGCTCTCGCCATGCACCGGAAGAGCAACTGAGCACAACACTAACAGCTTCATATTCTCTGCTACTGAGTTGAATGCTGGGATTGAGAGCCAGCAGTGACTAGCAGTGTTCTTGTGGTAGTTGTCGGAGATAACTGGCGTCTCACAATTGAAGGCATCCTGCCATTTGGATGTTTTAGTACTGGCATATGGTACAACTTGAAGTGTCATTCATTATCCTATTGTGGTATTGTGTTTTGCTACAAATTGAATGATGACGTACTGGTAACAGTCAAGAAGAAATATCAACAAGAAGAACGCACATGCTAACTGAAGCAATCAGCAGCTGAACCTGCCACTGCACAACAGCCATACTCGCCCCCACAGAATCCTCAGGAGAAACTACACCAGACAGTGCAGCAATTTATTTGAACGTGGGCTGCATGCGATCCTCTGGCAGCTCTTCCAGTGACGACCACCATGCACGCTCGTCCATGGACGCCCCCAGAAAGCTACGCTTTCTCTTCTGCGGCGTTTCTGTGGTGCTAGACTCCACATAACCGAACGAGTCCTCAGGCACCCACACCCCGGACACGGGATCTGGCTTCCAGCACTGGATCTTCCTCGGTTTCGTGGAAGGTGATGCTGCTTGTAGCTCGTCGGTCTTAGCACTGCTGCCGGGGGGTGAAACGGCTGCGGCTGAAAAGGGCCTGCATGAAGGGAAGAGGCGCGGATGGAAAGAAGGTTCACGACCACGGAGCAAGAATGGGGGAAAGGTGACCAAACGTGATAAATTACTGGAAAGAGGTGACAAGGAAACGAAAAAAGGAACCGGTTTATGTGAGAGATGGGGAGAACGAGGGGGGCCGAACTGGCGACGGCGGCGAATGAGCAAACGAGATGAAGTGCGTAAGTGATAGAAACGTTCGGGGCAGCCAAACCTACCGCGAGAAAGAGAAGGCTGTAAGCCCTTGGCGACGAGAAAGGCTGGACCCTAGCCGCAAAATATCAACAGCCGCCCTCGCCATGACCCCGTGATACTACTGGGGCTAGACGAGCAAGCAGACGATGCCAAGACGCCGGAAGATCGGACTGGGCTCAATCAGACATCCCAACACTTGTTTAGCTTAGTCGCCGAAATGAAAATAGCTCTCGAAGTACGCCGAGAGAATGGTGTGTTTTGGGACAGGAGTGCTGGTGACAGGGCGGAGTGGAAACTGGGGAACACATGAGATATCATGACAGGTGGCGGACAAACCAATACCGACAGCATTAGCGAATTGACGGGTCGCGAAGCTGCTCGTCATGAACGCCATTGAGAACCGTGATTGGTGGGAAGTGTAACCTGAGAAGATAGTGCGGGTGTCAGCAGGGTTCTAAGGACATCACATACACGTCAGAGGAGGGCCATCCTAGCCTTGAAAATATGAGGTGGTCCCCACCTAGGACGCGGTACAAGTGCCCAGCCAGCTTGGATGGAGCCGAAATTGAGCTACCCAATACGCAGTTCTGTTTTATTTCAGCCATTCTTATTTTCACAAATGAACAAAAATGCACTCAAGATGGGAAACTACACGAGTGTGTAAAACCGCAAATGCAATACTAGCTCTCTTTCCATTGCACTCCTGCAAGTTTTGTGTTTTTACAGCATGTGTTGATTTATTATCTGTAAGGAAAATTCATTTTCCTTACCTCGCGTCCCTGCTCAGCGCGTACAACACTGACAGCACCCCATAATATTCCGTTACCACTCGCGACATTCGCCTCGACACCATTCCCGCCACTGTTCACGATGCGACCCAACCTCACGGTTCGGCTGGTAACCCGCGCTCCGGACCTCCGCCTCGACAGTTCCCCAAACCTCGGCACTAGGCCCGTCGCGCACCCATTTTCCCACGTTACCGTTACCACCGTAGTTTCGCTATATATTCTTCGCTCATTCCTTCGCTCATTGTATTCTTGGCTCGATAGTGCAATCCTCGCTCGCTCACTCAATTGCACTCGTAACACTTGATTATCAGAGCCTACGATCTTCTCTCGGACGGCACCCACACCTTCGCTTCCCCACTATCATTTTTCTTGGGGGGGGTATACGTCTCTCAGCGATCAAGCACCGCCGCTCGTAGTGCTCTCTCGTAAGCACGCACGGCCACGACAGAGGCTCTCGCTGAGCTTGCCCGACACCCCCGCCATGGCAGAACTCACTGTCGCGACACTGACACAGGAGCAATTAGATCGGCTCATGCGCCAACTCGAAGAATCGGCGCTTGAAATCGCCACACTCACGGCGGAACGCGACTCCGCTCGCCAACAATCGACAGTGAATGCACCACCGCCAACACACGCACCTGCATATTCGGAGGAGCCGATTGTCATCTCCTCCGGCACACCGACACAGAATGACAGCGTGGGACAACGCTCAGGCGCAGCAAGTGAAGGCGCCGCTCACTCGATGCCTGGCATGGAGAGAAACAGGACCGCACCAAGCCCACGGGAGCCCCGCGAGTCCCGTCGGCACGTGGAATTTGCGGCAACAAGTGGCGAGTACGCAGCGTCCGCCCTGTTTCGACCCAAGCCAACGTGGGGGTCCGACGGTTCAGTCGTGGGTCTTCACGATGAACGTGTTTTTCGACGCCAATTACGTCGAGTCGGACGCAGCGAAGATTCGCTATGCTGTTTCGTTGCTGAGGGGCCCCGCCATGGACTGGTGGCGAGTCATCGTGACGTCGCCACGCGCCTACGAGCCACCGTCGCACGAAGACGGGCCCACGGGCCCAGCCGTCACCTGGAGTTCATTCTGCGAGACAGCCCAGTACAGCACGTGGGATGCGTGGTGCGCAGGGCTTCGGGCGCGTTTCGAGCCGATCGCGGCTTCAATTTCGGCGCGTCAGAAGCTGCGCACTTGGCGACAGCTCGGGTCGGTTCAAGATTACACTAGCGGCTTTCTCGCACTATGCGAACAAGTCAACTATATGCACGAAGCGGAGCGGGTGGACCGTTACGTCGGAGGGCTAAAGCCGGACATATCGCACGAAATTATGCTACGCGGGCTCTCGAATTTCAACGAGATCCTCGCGCTCGCCGAGAAAATCGACATCCTACGGCGACCGAGACCGGGGTCCTACTACGGACAACGTCCTCGGGGGCCGACCGAGCACGCCACCGTACACGCCGTTGCGACAAATGCAGCTGCCGCACCGTTTAAAGGGCGCTGCTTTGCTTGCAATAGGCCGGGCCATCGCAAGAGTGAATGCCCAGAGGAGCTGAGGCGCCGTGGAACAGAGCAGGGGCGAGAGTCTCAGAGGCCGGGAAACGCCAGCAGTCAGTAGAAGTTGGGCCAACTACTGACGAGACTACCTGCTCGCCCAACTTCACCGACCCTCACCGAGTCACAGTACCGATTCACGCCATCGATCGGGCTCGGATGAATACGGAGGGTACAGCGACGGATTGCCCAGTACTGATTCACGGGAAAATACAGGGAGCAGAAGTGAAGATTTGTATAGACCGAGGTGCAAGTCACAGCTTAGTTAATACCGCGATTGGAAGGAAGCTGCAACTGACACTTAGTCGGTGCTTACCAGAGATCAACGCACGCTTAGTTGACCGAACGCCGCTGGCCATACGGGAGAAAGTGGAAAGAGTAAAAGTCCGCTGTGGGGGAAATTTCGGTTTTACACAGGAAATGCTCGCGACGACATTGGATGGGCACGACATTTTACTGGGACGTGATTGGCTGCAACGATACAACCCGCGAATCGACTGGACGACAGGCAGCTGCACCGTGCGAAGTAGCGGTAACTGGGTGGAGCTACCTCGCTGGCAGTCGCCTGAGTCTTCAACGGTCCACTGTCAAACTATGCTATAGTATGTTTAGGCTGTAGTGGGGTAGTTCTTACAGGGTACAACACTTTTAGGTTTCATATATGTACCCACCTGCTTTCTAGTTCATTCATTCGCTCACATTCTAACATGGTATCAGAGCAGGTTCCCTAGTGGGAACGTTTTTTTTAGGAGCCCACCCTAGTAACGCTTGTGACCCTGCCCACGGACGCGTGCTGGGCCCCACACGTCCATGTGAAGAGTCTGCAGAGGAGCCTCAGTCGGAGGAAACGTGTAGGAGTGAGGAGCGGCGCGCTGCCGGCCCTCGACACAGGGAACACAGGAAGGGGCAGGCCCCGGAGGAAGGGGAGGGAGGGACCGGGGTAGACCCGAGACATGGGAACGGGAGGCCATACCTTGAAGACGAGGCAGGGAGGGGTGACCAAGGCGGTGGTGCCAAAGGAGAGTCTCGTGCGACAGAGGACGACACGAGCAGGGGGCAGACGCAGGACTAGACCTGGACGCGACAGCAAACACCTGACTGGACGCAGCTACCTGACTAGACGCAGAGACCGGAGGAGGCGCAGTAGTCAGTGTGTACAGACTCGACCCTGGCCGACGGGTGAACGTGGCCAGGTGGCGGCCCGTCCGAGAGCAAGTGCAGTGGGTCACACGCTGACCTCCAGGGGCGAACTGGTCAACCCACGCATCCTGGAGGTCAGCTCCACTCACCAGGTTCGTAGAGAACGAGGGGAGGTGGAGTCCCGACAGCAAGCCGGACGGGGCCGCAGGACACGGTAGAACCGTGGAAGAGTGCGCAAGGACTGGGCCCCCAGAGGGGTCAGCAAGGGAGACTGCGACAGGCCGACTGAGCGGCGTGAGTGTGGTGCTGTCTCTAAAGAAAGAGCGCAAAGCACCAGAGTCAAGTGTGAAAGTGTGCAAGGCCTCAGTAGGTGCAGTACAAGAGAGAGCAGACTCACCAGCACCTGGAGCAGCAGACTCACCAGTACCTGAAGCAGCAGACGCACTAGCACCTAGAGCAGCAGCCGCAATGCCCGGGTCGGGCGGGACACTCAGGTAACAGTCACCCTCAGCACTATCAGTCAAAGCATACATGGCAGCAAGGATAGCATCGAAATCAAGATCAAAGATAGCAACATTCTGCAGAAGCAGCTCATGCCAGCGAGGGAGCTTAACAGCGTCAGGAAACTGAGCACGCCAGGCGTCAGTCAAGCGACCGAAGCAGCGCTGCGTAGTGTGTGGCAGCCCACACACCTCCCCACGATGACTGCCGGTGCGAAGAACGTAAGTGCAGGGACCAGCACCCCCAGACCTCCCATGCCCAGCGTACCACTCACGAAGCTGCTGGGCCGACGTGGTCTCACGGGAGCGCGGCTGCTGCTGGCGCTGGCTACCACCAAAGCCTCCACGCTGCGCGGCTGCACCTCGACCAGCACCACCGCCGCCACCACCTCCACCACCGCTGCCGCTGCCTCCACCACCTCCGCAGCTGCCTCCACCACCTCCACCGCCGCCACTGAAGCCCCCACTCCCGGTACCACCCCCACCCGGTATGTCCCAGGTAGACCCTGCCGAGCCGGTCGAGGTAGCTGTCGACTCAGGTGCTGCTGGGGGTGCTGAGCCTGAGCGTGTGGAGCCTGGGGGTGCTGAGTCTGGGGGTGCTGAGCCTGGGCGTGTGGAGCCTGCGGGTACTGTGTTTGGAAGTGCTGAGCCTGCGCGTGCTGAGTCTGGAGGTGCTCTAGGTGTCCCGTCGCGGCGGGAGCCCCTCTCTCCACAGCAGCTTCGTGAGTGGCACTCTCGGCGCTGTCCAGGTGATGCTGGTGTTGGAGGTGCTGCTGGTGCTGGAGGTGCTGCTGGTGCTGGAGCTGCTGGAGGTGCTGCTGGAGCTGCTGGCGGTGCTGCTGGTGCTGGAGCTGCTGGAGCTGCTGGAGGTGCTGCTGGAGCTGATGCTGGTGCTGCTGATGCTGGAGGTGCTGCTGGTGCTGTAGCTGCTGGAGGTGCTGCTGGTGCTGGTGCTGCTGGAGCTGCTGGAGGTGCTGCAGGTGCTGGAGGTGCTACTGGTGCTAGAGCTGCTGGAGGTGCTGCTGGAGCTACTGGCGGTGCTGCTGGTGCTGGAGGTGCTGCTAGTGCTGGGGCTGCTGGAGCTACTGGAGGTGCTGCTGGTGCTGGAGGTGCTGGAGCTGCT